GGTGGGCTTGAGGTGGCGGAGGCAGGCGGCTCGCGAAGACGCACTCTGTTCTTTTCCCCAACAACTGTGTCATGGAGCCGTCCCCGCTTGAACCGGATATGCGTCGACGACGCGTCACGTAGAAAGCCAGAGAGCGTCGCCCCCTTGGGATTGTGGGAAATGTATTCTATATGTCAACTGGCGCTTTTCTCGTGTTCTGGACCTTGGGCCCACAGCTGGTGATATGAGGGGTGGAAAATTCATTTGCAAAGGGGTCACGTGAAAAATTGGAACGCTTGGCGAGTGCCAAGTCAACATGAAACCCTCAACTTAGTCTATATTATTTTTATTATTTGAGAAAAAGCATATTGTCTCGTTCTGAAATAATTGTGACGTGTGTAGTGATGTTTTGTCATCATTAGCAAATCGACATTTTTCCATGGGCCCCCTCATGACGAACTAACGCAAATTACGTCAACTACAAATTGTACTCTTAAAAGTCACGGGAATTAAAAGTTTGCCTATTTTTGGCCAAAATGAAAAAGTCATAATCTTCTTGCCTTAAAAAAAGAGAAATAAATTGAGGCGGAGGGCGGCTAAATTTTTCGAAAGTTATTTTTAAAATTCTGCATTTTTACAAGAAAAAATAAGTCATAATCTTTAATCGTATTAATCTGTACAAGATCAAAGTCATATTTTTTTGAACGTGTAGAACAAACCTGAATCATTCACTGTCCCTATCCAACCAAAATTGCACTTTGTTCATCTTTGCCAGCGACTTTTGGTGACAGCCAGAACAATTCAATGTCCTTTCACTTAGCTGGCAGAAGGTATATCATTGTCTGTCCATCCACTATTATGGCGTTTTTTTTATCATATGTGCTTTAGCTTAATAAAGGTTGGCAAGCTACATGAAAGTGCCCCACCTAACCATTGGGGGGCGCTGTGCGCTCGTTTAGACGTGAAGGCGACTCAGTGGCAGACACATCACCATGGCGACCACAGCTCGGGATGCTGATGCAGCCACAGGTGGGCACACACACACACACACACACACACACACACACACCGGGACAGACTGAAGAGGAGGAGGAGGAGGAAGAAGAAGACACGCTGAGGTGGATGACAGCAAACACGATGGAGGGAAACAAAAACAAGATGAAGGAAAGTGGGAAAAAAAGGACACACACAACGACTTTTAATAATGAGCCAGTTCATCCGACTGAAGATGATCAGGAGAGGCGAGGAGGAAAGTGAAAGAAGAGTCATTGCAGGAATGCTTCTGAGGGTAGTTGCCATGGTTACTTGATCTTCTCGCTGTCGCACTGACGTTTACGTATTCACCTCACAGTATCATCGCAAACAGCACCTTTCATATTGCAATATTTATTTCATAGTCCATTCATAATTCATCCGTGTTTCATTCATATTTGCATATGTTGCAGTGCAAGTTTTTTTTTTGTTTCCAGGTAATTTACATCATCCCATAAGCCAATCCATGATCAACCACTTCGCTTTATATCGACACAAGATTATAGTGCACACCATTACTGTATATTATATGTGACATTATAGTATGTATATTGCCCACTTCAATCTACTATTCTTTTTTTTAATTTCATCTAATGGGCGCTCTTTCGGGATATATCTATCTAGCTGTCGAGCTAGCTATCTTGCTATTTAGCTATCTAGCTAGCGCAGGCTCTTTAAGGAGCAATCTCTCTATCGCTCTATCAATGAAGAAATGTCACGTATTGTATACAGTAACCTATTGACAAGTCCATATATATTTGAATGGATTAAAATTTGATCATAGTATTTTCTTGACATTCCACTGAGCCTATATTTCCAGGCTACTAAAAACATATCGCTGATAAAACAGAACCTCATTTCATTCAAGGAGTTTCAATTGCTCAACAAAGCAAGCGAGTTGTTTGCTCCAAAACAATTCACAGAGGTTTTTAAAAAAATTTTTTTTTGACTTAACTTATCTTTAAATTGGGGCCAATTATTTCTTTAAACTCTTACTTCTTTGTTGAAAATGCGACAAAGACAATTTTTACATCAGCAAAAGTTAAAACATTTTGTTTCATTGGCTCAACTTGAAATTTTATCCAAGTTTGTTTGTTGAAATTTTGAATTGAATCAAACTTGTTTTTTTTTTTTTTTAACTGTGTGTTGTCAATAAGATTTTAGAGACTGATTAAAATTTACATTGAAATTATTTTTTGTGTTATGTAGAAATTGAAAGGGTATTTTTGGGTAACATATGAGACATTTGTGCTCTCTGAAGTGCATTGCACGCAAGTTAAAAAGTTCACTATCGATGTATGAAAATGTCACTGTGTCACACATATTAGAACGGTGAGCAATTCATTTGAAATATAAATCCCGTCTTTAAAAATCCAATGAGAAGAACTCACTACCCACATAAAAATCATCATTCATGACAAATCTGTAATCCGATTAGCGGCAGTGAATAAGTCATGCGGATAGTTCATGTGTGGCTTTGATGATAAGAAAAATGAGAGTGCAATGTCGGTGGTGCAAGGCGAGCACGAGTGTGATCGGTTGCCGTGGATACACAACCTGATGCCGCAGAGGAACATGTTGCTCTTCTGTGGGAGGTTGAGCTTGCATCATCTTTGGTCTCATGATGTAAACTATCTTCGTATTTATCTCATTATATAAACCCCGTGTGTGTGTGTGTGTGTGTGTGTGTGTGTGTGTGTGTGTGTGTGTTTGTGTGTGTTTGTGTGTGTGTGTGTGTGTGTGAGTGTGTGTGAGTGTGTGTGTGTGTGTTGTCAGCTTTTTGCGTTGGAGGAACATCTCACCATCAGCTTGGCTCTGGTCCAAGGTGACCTGCTCGAGCACATGTGAGATCCTGATGGGTGCAATCCGCCCTTCGCTTCGCTTTCCTGGTAATCGCACATGCCGAATGTGACAGGAATTAGAAGACGATCGGGTCATGTGCTTGCTGCGTGGAATCGTTTCACGCCTCATGACTACTCAAATGCTGAACAAGCCAGACACTTTCATTGAAACTCCCTCTTGATTCACATGCCTGTTCCTCACATCGGCAACATTCTTGATCCGTTAACACGTCTAATTGTGTCAAAAAGTACTCTGCATAAAGCGCCACTCAACCGAGTCAGCCAATGGTAGTGCATTAGCATCTCAAAGAGCGTCACCTGCGCCGACTGTCGGCATGATGTTGGCGGCCATGACAGGTTGATCAAGCTGCTGCTTTTCTGTTTTGGAATGTTTGTGTCTTACATTAGAAGACGAACGCTTGTTTCAAGTCCTGTGAGGGCGCATGCGCGCACACACACACACACACACACACACACACACACACACACACACACACACACACACACACACAAACAAGTCCGCCTCTTCCCTGGGCCAATGTTTGCAACACGTTTTTCTTATTCTGTGTGATGCTTTGCTGGGCGTCCAAGAACAGCCTGTGGCCACTGCGTTTGTGCGCGTCTATGTGAAAGTTTGGGTGTGTGTTTGTGTGTGCGTGTGTGTATGGGTAGAAGAGTGTGTTGGTGTGTGAGAGTGTATTTATGCAAATGTGTGTGAGTGTGTTTGTGCATATATGTATGTATTGACGCATGCAGTAAATATGCGCCTGTTTTTGTGTGTCATTTTCTCTGAATGAGATTTCTGTGTGTATGCTTGTGTAGATATTTCAGTAAACTGATTGTGGACATTTGTGTATTTGTGTGTGTGTATGCATGTGTGCGTGCTTGGGTGGGAGGTGTGTGTGTGTGTGTGTGTGTGTGTGTGTGTATAGAAATGTATATCTATGTGTGTGCGTGCATGTTTGTTTGCATGCATGTCCATGGATATGTGTGCATTTGTGACTGTGTGTGTGTGTGTGTGTGTGTTTCTGTGACTGTTTGTGTGTGTGTGACTGGAAAATTTGTACATTTGTGTGCCTGTGGATGTAAATGTGTGCATTGTGTGTATGTGTGTGTGTGCATGTATTTGTGTGTGTGTGTGTGTGTGTGTGTTCACCCTGTCTGGCTTCACAAGAGAAGCAATCGAGCCCCCAGCGGGTGTGTACTGGCGGCCGCTGATAAGGTGAAATTGAAATGTTTTCAGGGCTCCCAGAACGCCGCCGCCTCCTCCTCAGAACCTGCCGGATGGCTCAGAGGAATCCATTTTTCATTTCGGGGCTAAACACATGATGCCTCAACCGCCTTGGCACCCAAATGGCGTGAAACAAACGAGAGAAAGAAGGACGCAGAGCAATCTGACCTTTTAATTCCAAAAAAAAAAGAAAAAAAGAAAGGCTCCTTCAGGACCGCAAAGGCTCTTTAAGGAGCATGAAGGCTCCGATAATTGACGGGAAACATCGGGAATGCGCGGAACATGCACGGAGAGGCCAGCGACATGCACACCACCAAAGCCAGAGAAGAAACTTGTGCGACTGGCGGAGGAGGGGGAAGGCCACAGCATCACGAGAACGGCGCGAGAAAGGCTCAAGCGGTCCACTTCCTCTTGCAACAGGAAGTGCACGGGTGGAAAAATGAGGAGGCGGGCGAGAGGGGAGTGTCTCTTTTCATGACATCACTAGGAAGGAAAGTCTGTAAACAATCTACACTATAAGGCAGAGGTGGGAGGAAGTCACATCTGTGCAGGTCTAAAGTCTCGAGTCTTAACGTTCAAGTTTCAAGCAAGTCCCAAGTCACGATGAGTCATCAAGTTATGATTTGACTGAATTCATACAATCTTTTTTAGTCATTCGGACATTAGCCACTTTGCACACGATATCTGTACTCGTGTTTGTTAGCTGTACAAATATTCATATTTGGCTAGTTTTTGAAATGGTCCACACCAGAATCCTTATTGCCTCTTACTTTATTATCTTTACTGGTGTGGAACAGACATGACGCATAGCTCATGTTTGACTAGCTCCCGTTCGCTAAACTAAAATATTAGCTGAGCTTACTCGTCTTTGTGGGTTTTATGTGACTGAAAGCGAACTTTGCATGTTGCTGTTTGTGTTTTTTTTCCCCCCATTTTATCCAAAACATCCATCGCTTTTCCATACCGCTAATCCTCATTCGGGTTAGCTAACCATTAGCCACTGACGGGGCACAAATAGACAATCATTCACACTGAAAAAACTATTTAGTCTTCAAAACAACAACGCGCATGATTTGGAGACCATGAAAACTCCAAACAGGAAGGCCAAAGTTGAGACTCAAACCTCAAACGTCAGCCTTGGGGGGGGGGGATTGGTACCGCTTGTCCACCTCACTGCCAAATGGTGCGCTGTCTTGAAAATTCCGATTTTCAAATGGAAACTGGCAAGACTTGTCCAGTCAAGTCTATCGTCTACGTTTTAGTCAATCAATTACCAATTCCAGGGAATTGGCGGCTTAAGTCTGACTCGATTCAAGTTACATGACTCAGGGCCCCCACCTTTGGCTATTGATGAGCTAAACTGTGAGCTCACATAGTTTAGCCTTTATAGTGAAAGATAAAGTTAGCTGCTGGAGTTGTTGTCTCATACCTTTGAGATGGCATTCTTTTTTTTCACCATTTTGTCAGATCTCGGTTCCAAATTACCCTCAGAGCTCCGTCACAAAACAAAACTTTTCTTTCCAAAGCAAAATAACAGTTTGAGTCGAAGTGAAGTCAAGACTCATGAAGTCAAAGTCAGGTTGATTCTTTCATCGTCTGAAGTCCTAAAAATCGGTGACTTGAAACCGACTCGACTCAAGTCATGTGACTCGAGTCCCCCACCTCTGCTGTAAGGCGCACAGATGGCGAAAAGCCATGGCGACGGTTGGCGAAGGCTTTGGTGGGAGGACGGAGACGCCGCGGCCGCCGCCGTCCCCCTACCAAGTGCCGGCAGTGACCCTGCTTGAGGAACACGGACGTCACGTGACGAAAACCACACGGGACAACATGTGGAGGCACACGGTACAGCACTGTCAACTTTGGGTCCGACGTGGCCAACGCCAATGTTCAAAGGGTTAACGTTAAAGGGAGCGCTCCAAGAAGAAGAAGAAGAAGAAGGCAGGAAGCCTTGGAGGAGGTCAACTACGCGGGTGGGCAAAACAACACTGATTGTCTAAATCTAGCAAAGACGCTGGCATGTAAACTCTGTTTGACCCTGTTGAGACGTCCACACACAAGATGGCGGTACGAGGTAGTCCACGAATGGATGACGAGAAAGGAGGAAGGGGGCGGGGGGGTCTGCTCAGGGGCCGGGTGGTGTGGGGGGGGGGGGGCTCAATATTTTTCCAATAAATGATGTCTCATGAATATTTAAAAAGTGAACCCTCACTAGTTGAGCCCTGCTGCGAATCGTGAAAACCCACAAGTCACCCTGAAAGTGTTGTAATAGCCAATGGATGAGGGCAAAGGACTTTTTGTATGGGACAAGGCTACAGTCTGACTAAATGAAGCGCCTCCTCTTACTTCTACATAGTTCCTTGGTACCAAGATGTCACCAGATGGGGTCAAAGCACGTAAAAGATCTGACATGATTGTGACATCTCGCATAAATCAGTCATCAAGGTTGCCTACAATGATGTAAAAAAAAACAAACAAAAAACATTGACCTGTTTTTGTGAGGAGAATGAAGGTGACTTTCCCAGCATAAAAGGGGCGATACGATGAGAATTAAGTTGTATTTTTTTGAAATTCATGTTAAAATCATTAAATAGATGTATCATCAATTTATGACTTTGCCTTTGTAAAATTAAGATCTTTTTGTAATCTTGATAAATCTGAATTAATTAAACTGTTTTTATCCTAACAAATCCTATTTTAATCTCGCATTTTTTTTGCTCAAAGCAAAAGTGTCACTTTTAATCCTGTTAAAATCTGATTTAAATCTCATAAGATTCCAAATTTATCCCCAAAAATCTGACTGTATTTTCTTACGATTTCAACATTGAATCTTGACAAAATCAGACTTCAATCCAGAATGATTACGATTTTTTTTAACCAATCTGCGACCTCATTCTTGTAAAATTACGACTTTTTATATCGTTAAAATCTGACAGAATTTCTGTAAAATCAAGTCTCATTAGAACGACAAAATTTGACTCGTACGATTAATTTTATTCCAAACCTCCCCTCAAAATTGTATTCTCATCACACTGCCCCTTTCCCCCCCATGAAATAAAAATATATTTAATCGTACTATAACGCAATTTTTTTTTTATCAACAGTAGATCGACATTATGTGTGTTTAAAGCATGTGGGAGGGGTAAAAGTATATCAAAAATTTTTTTGTTTGTTTTTTTTAAATGTGGTCTCCATAAATTGTGGATTTTTATCTCCTGCGGGCGGTTCCGGAACGTATCCCCTGTGATAAACTGATTCATTACTTACGGTAAATCTCCTGGCTTTTCGGGCTATACATGGTAGTCGGGTGTAGTTGGGATTTAGATGGATTTGGAAGAATTTCGCCCCTGGACCCCGAAAATTTGAGAACGCCCGGCTTAGACGATGCGATAGTCGAAGGTGTCCTTCTCGGTGTGGTCAGTCCAGTTGGATGAGGGCATGCTGCGGTAAGGGTCCAGCAGGATGCGGAAGCAGCGCACGATGAGGAGCGCCAGGAAGATGAAGAGCAGCAGCACGAAGACGAAGGCCGCCTTCTGCTCCAGCGTCAGGTAGGACGCCGCGTGTTGTCCGCCGCCCGACGATGACAGCGTGCTGCTGAAGAGGCCCTCGGCCATCCTGGGCACGTCCATGCTGGAGCGTCGCGGCTCCAGCGCTGTGGTCGGCACTCGGTAACCACGCACGGAACACGGGGGGTGTGGAGGGTGGCGGCCAGACGCCTGCAAAGCAGACAAATCAATCATCTGTGCATGCAGGTCACAAATATAACAGCTAAAAATGCGGACTGAAAGTGAGATTAAAAAAAAAACAAAAACCTCCTTTCTTGTCCCTACAGGATACCTTGGCGGCTGGGTAAACCATAACAGCTTTAGATCACCCATTGGAATCTTAACTAAGTGATGAACTGGTATCCCAGGCCTGAAGCAGTGCAGTGAACTGAGACTCCAAATGAACCACTGGTCAACTCAACAAATTTATTTGACCATTGCCAAGTAAATTGGGCAGTGGGTAACTACAAATCTTTAATTGTATTAGTTAATCTATAGATATATGATCGAGGATAGAAACTAAACAAATACACAAAAAATATCTGTAAACCATTGGAATGTCCGACTGCATTTGAATGCACCTCACGTCGCGAGTCAATGTTTACTCTCTCGTTCGTGGCGGAGACTTGGGCCGCATCATAAAATGACGGCGTAATTCACTTGTAGTTTCTTCGCGTCTTAAATCAGCGATTGAATATGATTTCAGATAGGCGGTGTTGGGAGCAACTATGTACTAAAATTGCGATACGGTAAACCAAAATGTCGACGATATAAATCGCCCTAGCCGGCCAACCACCACACGCGACAACTTCAAAATAAAAGCTTTGTGAGGCTGTTGGGTTGGTGTCAATTGATTATTTGATGAGCTTTTACTTTGAAGTCAGTCTTTGCGTTAGCGGCGTGTTATGTTACTTGTAGTCCAAATGACGGCGCACACGCCAAATAAACTGTTACGGGAGGCAGAAAAAAAATCAATTTTTTGGGGGTGGGGGAAGGGGAGTACCTGAATGATTGACGGAGTCGTGTGAGTATCCCAAAGTGCAAGAGAGTAATTGAACAAAAGACGGTACAGTGGGCTAATTTGAAGTCCCGCTACGGTCGAGGATAAAATTGAGAAGTAATGGTGCTATTTTCCCTGCTACCGGCCCATTAAAGCACTGAAGAAAATCTATAATGGATAAAAACATGTAAATAATAAATAAGAACAACGTAATGACCATACAATAAAATTCACATGAAATTTGAATTTGAGATGTAAAAAAAAAAAAAAAAAAAAAATGCTGAAAATACGATTAAAAAATACTAGGATTAAAAGAAATAGGTACATTTTGATTTTATTACAAATATAATTTAAATATAATTTCAAAATCTAAAATCCATCCATTTTCTTATCCTCACAAGGGTTCGCGGGGTATTTGTGTGTGTGTGTGTATGTGTGTATAAACAAAAAAAAAGAAACAATGAAAGGAATGCAACATATATATATATATATATATATATATAAAAATCAAAACAATCCAAAATGCATAAGGTGTGTACCAAATGAATTGGTCAGTTGCTGTTGGGCTAAATTTGCTCGCCGATGATCAATTAAAACAATAGTCATTATCTCTCTCTCTCTCTCTCTCTCTCTCTCTCTATATATATATATATATATATATATGTATGTATGTATGTATGTATATATAAAAATATCATTCCTTGTGCTCATCACTCTCACATTAAGAGTCAAGTGTGAGTGTCACTGACCTGCTCCTGCTCTGGTTATTGTTTTGTTGTTTGTTGATGTCACGTCAGTCTGCCATCATGCCGCCGCCGCCGCCGGTTCGATCCTTGAGTCCGCGTGAGGTGGACGCCGCCGCCGCTGCCGCCACCACGTCTGAGTGTCTTTGCGAGCGGACCTCACCCTGGCGCGTGCGCGAATGTCTTTGCGTGCCGCCGCACTCGCCGGTTGTCTGGCGGCGATGGAGCGGTACCCCGTCGCTATGGGCAACTTGTTGCCATGGCGATCCTCCGGCAAGGTGATATGGCGCAAGTCAATGAGGGAGGGGTGCGGCCCTTGCGAACGTGCACGTAAAATCACTTGCGCGTTTTTCTTTCAAATGACTTGTCTTTGATTAGAATCAGCTACATAAATGGATGACTCAAAGACACCTAGTCTTTGAAGTGTGCTTGATTTGGCATTGCTTTTGATCTTTGTGTTTTTGATCGGTCTTTGAGATGTTTTTGATATCGGCAGAATCAGCTACAGGATGATATCTATGAGATAGTTATGTTTTTCTTTGATGTTTCTTCAAAGTGCTTATGATTTGTGTTTGAGGTGGTTTTCCAAATCAGACATTTCAAACAGTTCTTATTTTTCTTTGAGGCAGGCTCAATGTGTCTTAGATTTGTTGCCGAGTTGTTATTTGGGTGTCTGAAGTGTTTTTGGATGTCAAAGGTGTCTGATATTGACAGAATCAGTGACATAAATGGTAACATCCTGGCACGAGACGTTGACATCCTTCAATGTTTTTGTCTTTGTGGCATTTCGTCTTTGTCATTAATAACACCTCAAACAGTTTTTGACATGTCTGATTTTTCTTTAACACGTCTTCCATTTGTCTTTGAGGTGCCTGATGTGTTTATTTAGTTTGATTTTTACGTGGGGTGTCATTGTCGTCAAAGACACATCAACAGTCTTTGAACGGCCTCTAATGCATCTTGGATGTGTGTTAATTGAGTTTTTTTTTAACGTATTTTGATTGTTTTTGGGGTGACTTAGCTATCAAATACACTTCGATTAGTCTTTGACGTGTATCTTATTTGTCTTTGATATGTCAGATTATTATGATTTTTTTTTTTGGATAGACAGGACTGTATCTTATTTGTCTTTGATATGTCAGATTATTATTATTATTTTTTTGGATAGACAGGATCAGTTACTAATTACGCACAGTTAGGGCAAAGCACGCATACGCATATAGTATTTAATACAACCTATGATGGGTAATATTTATCGTCGAAATTAATACATGACACATATACGTATGGGTTTCCCCTGAAGTTAAGAGTTGGCGCACCATGTGAGTGGTGTACTGTGTCTCCCTCCGGTGGCAAATAGTGAGTACTGCAGCATCTTTTTCAGCCAATGAAATGCTACTGAGCCACGAAGACAGCTGCAATGACATGCTTCTTTTTAAAAAAGGACTTCCTATATTTCTCACGGTGAACAACTTTTAACAATTGAAGTTGTGATTTTAGTCTTATAAGAGTGTGACTTTTTGTCAAGGTTATGTTTTTTATTTAAGTTTTTGTTATTAAGTTATTGAAAACGGCTTTACTGAAAGACAAACACGTTTTTATTGAAAATGTTGATTTTTAATTTAAAAAAAAAACTTTATATTGAAAAACATTTTTTTTCTTGTAACCGTTTTCTTACAAATTTCATAAAAAATACATTTTCTTCACAAATATCAATTCAAATATTTTTTAAATGGTGACTTTCTCAAAAAACTATTCGTTTAATCTTTGTTGCTTTCTGTAAAAAAAAAAACAAAAAAAAATTTTAAGCAGTATTTTTTTCTTTATAGACGTCATCACACGTCACTGAAGTGTCCCTGGTCTCCGAGGGGACTTCCTGCATCACACGTACACGACCACAAGATGTCACTATACATCCAACAATCAATCATAAAGAACACAATTTAAAACTGAACAAAACTGAACTGTGGAGAAAAATAAACACGAACAATAACAATAACAAATATATTGAAAAAGCAAAAGTGCTTAGAGGGCTTTTGATGACGCCGATAGATAATGAAGATTGGTAAAGGATCCACCAGGAGAAAAGTAAAAACAAAAAAAAAAACTGGACTATATTAGTTGTTTTTATATTACTTCTCTTTTTTCGCTTTTAACACGACAATATGTGTACGTTATTTAACTGAAAGACAAACACGTTTTTATTGAAAATGTTGACTTTTAATTAAAAAAAATACTTTATATCGAAAAACACTTTTTTCTTGTAACCGTTTTCTTACAAATTTCATAAAAAATACATTTTCTTCACAAATATCAATTCAAATATTTTTTAAATGGTGACTTTCTCAAAAAACTATTCGTTTAATCTTTGTTGCTTTCTGTAAAAAAAACAAAAAACAAAATTTTAAGCAGTCTTGACAATTTTTTTCTTTATAGACGTCATCACACGTCACTGAAGTGTCCCTGGTCTCCGAGGGGACTTCCTGCATCACACGTACACGACCACAAGATGTCACTATACATCCAACAATCAATCATAAAGAACACAATTTAAAACTGAACAAAACTGAACTGTGGAGAAAAATAAACACGAACAATAACAATAACAAATATATTGAAAAAGCAAAAGTGCTTAGAGGGCTTTTGATGACGCCGATAGATAATGAAGATTGGTAAAGGATCCACCAGGAGAAAAGTAAAAACAAAAAAAAAAACTGGACTATATTAGTTGTTTTTATATTACTTCTCTTTTTTCGCTTTTAACACGACAATATGTGTACGTTATTTATTATCTTGTCTTTCTTGCGTCTTCCTGTGTGTGTTTGGGAAAGCCGTGATGTCGTGGCAGCCAAGTCACAACACACAAACGTGCACATTCACTTCAAACATAGGCTTACAATAGATCAGATCAAAACACACTCACGCAGTCATACACGTCCAATTGGTCAGGTAAAACACACGCGTCTTAGTTGTTGCGCGTGTGAGGTCTTATTCATTTTTCTTCAGTAAGCACTTACCTACAAAGGGGCTCCATTAGGGTAGTGACATCACTGAGTTGAATTATGAACACTAAATCAGATACATCGTAGAGGCCAGCCTGAACCACATTCAATATGGCCACGACGTAGATATGTTGGCCTTCACAGAGATGTGACGGCCATCTTGGATGTGGTTAGTTCCTGTCAAAGGCCAGATAAACAAATCCATTTTACTCATCAATATACTGTACACTAATTATTCTGCTCATCTAAAACATTTGTACTTCTATTTTAACATATGTTATAACATTTCATTTTCATTATTTAATTTTTGTTCATTACAACTCATTGGTAAAGGATCCACCAGGAGAAAAGTAAAAACAAATATAAAACTGGACGATATTAGTTGTTTTTATATTACTTCTCTTTTTTCACTTTTAACACGACAATGTGTACGTTATTTGTTATCTTGTCTTTCTTGCGTCTTCCTGTGTGTGTTTGGGAGAGCCGTGATGTCGTGGCAGCCAAGTCACAACACACAAACGTGCACATTCACTTCAAACATAGGCTTACAATAGATCAGATCAAAACACACTCACGCAGTCATACACGTCCAATTGGTCAGGTAAAACACACGCGTCTTAGTTGTTGCGCGTGTGAGGTCTTATTCATTTTTCTTCAGTAAGCACTTACCTACAAAGGGGCTCCATTAGGGTAGTGACATCACTGAGTTGAATTATGAACACTAAATCAGATACATCGTAGAGGCCAGCCTGAACCACATTCAATATGGCCACGACGTAGATATGTTGGCCTTCACAGAGATGTGACGGCCATCTTGGATGTGGTTAGTTCCTGTCAAAGGCCAGATAAACAAATCCATTTTACTCATCAATATACTGTACACTAATTATTCTGCTCATCTAAAACATTTGTACTTCTATTTTAACATATGTTATAACATTTCATTTTCATTATTTAATTTTTGTTCATTACAACTCATCTGGGTAGGAGAGCAACAACCTAGCCAGCGCTCTCTATTGACGAGCCACCAAGGGCACACAAAAAATAGGCAAAAGGAATTTAAATGATCGTGAGCATTGCCGTGATGTCGTGGCAGCCAAGTCACAACACACAAACGTGCACATTCACTTCAAACAATCGACCAGATCAAAACACACTCACGCAGTCATACACGTCCAATTGGTCAGGTAAAACACACACGTCTTAGTTGTTGCGCATGTAAGGTCTTATTCAAGTTTTTCTTCAGTAAGCACTTACCTACAAAGGGGCTCCATTAGGGTAGTGACATCACTGAGTTGAATTATGAACACTAAATCAGATACATCGTAGAGGCCAGCCTGAACCACATTCAATATGGCCACGACGTAGATATGTTGGCCTTCACAGAGATGTGACGGCCATCTTGGATGTGGTTAGTTCCTGTCAAAGGCCAGATAAACAAATCCATTTTACTCATCAATATACTGTACACTAATTATTCTGCTCATCTAAAACATTTATACTTATATTTTAACACATGTTATAACATTTCATTTTCATTATTTCATTTTTGTTCCTTTCATTACAACTCAGCTGGGTAGGAGAGCAACAACCTAGCCAGCGCTCTCTATTGACGAGCCACCACGGACACACAAAAAAATAGGTAAAAGGAATTTAAATGATCGTGAGAATCCGGTTAGCTTGTCAGTAGCACCTTGGCTTTAATACCAAGACGTGGACATGCCAAAAGTGTGGTTCTCTCATTCCAATTCAAAAAGGACTGTGTTACTGTTTGACCACCTGGAACGTTTCCCAGTTTGAAAAAAAATGTCAGCCAACTTCAAGCTATTTCAACCTGAACAGTGCCCCTTTGGTTAAATGCAGCAAAAATTAAACCTGGGAATGATAATGATAACGGAGTGGTAGGAGGAAAGAAATTTGCTGCATTTTCTGGTTTAGGCAATGTTAGATATCGGTCATTAGATGAAGGGCGAAGGTTTGTTGAAAACATTTGCTTCAAAATCCATATGACTGGAAGCTATAGCTCTGTGCAAAGGACATTTGTCGCCCAGAAACAGAAGTGGGGTCGATCAACCCATTTTTAGGAAAAAGAGGGTTGTATTTGTGTTAAAATATTACATTTCAACCCATTACTGCGTGGTTTTAACAGTTGTCTCGCATGCTAAATAAGGATATGGTGGTAAAAATAAATTCTAAAGAGGTCTAAAATTTTGGGGGTGCTTGGATTCACTTTAGGGGTGGTTTGAGCACCCTCAAAAATGGGCTCGACACACAGACTGACAATTTGTCATGTGAGAATTAGAGCCTATCAAGGTATACCTAAGACTGAGTAACCCAGAACCTCTTGACTGTGAGGCAGATTGACCAACCACTACCAATCCGTGCTGCCATGAGTATGAAATAAGGCACGCACGTACGTACATCTGTGTAGTCAGTATGTTTTTATTTACAAGCATTAACCTCAAAGTGTGTCGATAAGAAGTGCAGCTCTCTCCATTGTTGTAGTTTGTTTTGGGAATGTCGGCCTCTGGCGGTCCAAAATGTTCCCCCTGGAGAAATGTCCATGTCAGCAACAATCAAAAATTCTTCCCAGGGAAAAACAACAACAACAAAAAAAAAAATGACAACAGCGAGTTGTCGGCTTCAGCAGACTGGCGCCACTGCCCCCGCCCCCCAAAAATCTAATAATGCAAAAATAGGAAACACAATAATAAAATTGGCATTTTTTGCGCAGCCAAATGACAATGAAGTCAGGATGCTGTGAAGTCATTTCAG